TGGTAAACATACTATCATGGCAACATTCACACGCATGCAATATGCTAAAGCGAAAATACTTACATCGTACTCCGTGCCAAAACAATAAACTAGTTAGCAAACATGCATGTCCTAGTTCATGTTAAAATGACTAATGCAACACAAGCAAAATGTGATTAGGATAGGCTCGGCTAATCTACGATGACATGTGGAATGCTACAACTAACACGTATTCAATTTGGAAATTGAAATACAGATGCAGCTAGAATGATGCGCCGAGCCCGGTGCATGTAAGACAAATGAATGAATGCACGCATGCATTGCATAGGTATGCTAATTTAAACGTGCCCTAATACTAACCATCAAAGTAGGTAAATAAAAGGGAAGAAAGAAGTGGGGATTGGAAGACATACACACCACTCACACACACTTATTACAGATTTGCCCTCGCCCGGAGGGACCAAATAAATAATACAAATTAATTAACTACGTAAGCTAATTAAATATTACAAATTGCCTAATTAGTCAACAAACTAATTTAAACTAGGAAAAGCAGTAAACCGCCTCGGGAGGAGAGCCAGATGCAACGCATGCTCGGGTCCTGCTCGGAAGTGCACGGCCATGCATAGTCTGCCTCTGTTTTCCCTACTCTGCCTCTCTAAAGACTGCCAAAGTCTCAAGGTTGCTTCTCTGGATACTGGGAATCATCACCGGCTGAGTAGAATTACCACCGGCAGTGAATTGTGGTCGCCGGCACAAAATGAATCCATCGGCTGGTGATTTACTGCCGGTCGGCAATGTATATTGCCGGTCGGCAAATAATGCCTGCAGAACCTGCAACTCACAGCAGAGGACAGAACTTGCATGTCAATACAATTCAAGGCATATATGCACCAATCATGTCCCTTATCATGTTAATGACTCAAAGGGACATGTGTCTCGATTCTCGAACCGCCAATCACGCATTTCCATGCATGACGGCCCAAAAAATCAAGTCAAACTGATGAAAAGGTGGACTTAGACATGATTTAGGCAACTCTAAATAGGCCTAAAACAGTGGCCAAAAACCAAGGAATTGGGATCGAACATACATACACACATGCAAGTAAGTTGGACCAACACTTAGGCATTAAATAAGTAACTCTAAGGCATACTTGAAAAGGGATATCATGGACAATTAGCATGCAACATAAGCTCTGAAAATCATGTTAAAACATGGTGCCAAACCAAGCAACAAGTCAAGCTAAACATGCAACAATGGTCCAAGCATTCAAGGCTCGCCAAAGAGGCAATGGACTACACTTAGTACAACCACACACGGCAAGACTTAGACAACCAAAAACAGAGTTTTAACACATGAAACTAAGTCCAAAAGACCAATTAGATAGCATCTAGATGGTTTGAACTTAAAGGCATGCATAAATGCTCAAACATGGAGCATGCAAGGTAAGCTTCCAAAGCTTCAAAGAGGCATCCAAGGCAAACATATGAGCATGTTAAAGGGACTGAAATAACATGTAGGGTGGTTCCAAACTACCGAAATGATGCAAGCAACACATACTACACATTCACATACTTGAAGCATACAAGCTCAAATACAAAGGAGCTATACTACGCATGCCAAGATCAACCCAAACAACTATGGACAGACCTAAAACATGGCAAAATGAGCACAAAACCTTCACAAGGCTAAACCTAAAACATGCTAGAGCAAAGGCTAACAACCTAAGGCATATTAAGGCAATAACAAGGCATTACATGGTAGGTATGCTAAGTATGCATGGTGTACCAAAACCAACATGCAACAAGGTTATATCATGGCATAATAAACATGGAAAACAGCCAAGACATGATCAATACACACTCTAACATGATGCTCCTCAAGAGGCCAAAAAGGGTCCCTTTCAAGGACAACAAGGAGAGGGGGTGGCCCTCCCCTTTTGGAGACTTCAAGGCACCATCTCTGCCACTGAAATCCCTCAAGATCTCAGTGGTGAAGAGGCCCAAACACCAAAGTCTCGAAACTTGCACAAAATAGCACAAAAAGGAGCCTTACAAGGCTTAGGAGGGGGCAAACAAACCCAAACCACAAAACACTCTTAATAAACAATCAAGAGGGCTAAAAAATAGAACTTTTTTGTGTTATACACCAAGCACAAAAACAGCTCTAAGATAGGTAGAAAAGCAATGCAAAAAAGGGGAATATAAAGGCAAGTTTCTTACCCTTGAAGATCCCTTCAACAATGGTGCTCCAACAGCCCTCTTTGGCTTGAATCCTGCTCCAAAACACCAAAACCAGCCTCTTAGAACCTCAGTAGCTAAGAGAAGGTGAAAGACTATGTGTTTATGTGCAATAGTAAGACACAAATGCACCTAGACACCCACAAGAGAGAGATATAGAGATAGGATATGTATGGATCCTAACCCTAGAACTCAAAACCTTAAAATGGCTGTCTAAAAATGTCTAAAGTGTCTAAAGTGTCTAACCTCTAAAGGCCAAGAGAGAAGACTCTCTCTTATAGAGCCTTTTGTCTTGTAAAGCTTACAAGACAAGCTTCTAAAGAGAGAGATCCCTCCATACACGTGTATGGAGGGGAGCCAAATGCAAGACAGTTGTGATAAAATATCTGCAAAAGCAAATGCACAGTAATCGGCCGGCCAAAGATGCCATTTTAGCAAAAAGGAGTGCTGACCGGCAACAAAAGGTGCCGACCGGCAAAATAGATTGCCGATAGAAACAAAAACCAGCCGGTGGCCTCTGGCCATGGCCGGTGGTGTGTGGGGATGCCTCACAAGGCATTCCCTGCCCCTCCAAGGCAAAACACAAGTGTTTGGTGCAAACCAGACACTAAACAGTCGAGTTCGGAGTTCCTGAGGCAAGGCGCGCGAGCCGAAACCTCCGGGAACTCCAAACGAACACAAACAAGGGTAATCACCAAATGTTCCAATGGTGACGTCCAAGTCTTAAGGACGGTCAAAAATGGGGTGTCTACAGCTTGACATCATGAAACTCCACAAGCAAAACCAAAAAGATAATAGCTAGCAAGCTAGCAGAGGCAATGAAAAACATACATAATCAATCTGTAACAAAGTAAACAAAACCTAGTTTACAAACTGAAGATAGTAATAGCAAATCAATTTTTACCACTTGGAAGATAAATGCACATAATTAGGTCCAGTAAATCTTTTCAAAAACAATAATTTACCAACTCTATGCCAACATAAGCTGTAATTTCTTCTAGATTTGATTGCCAACAAAATAGTGCTCATCAAGCCTTGTTATGGGAGTGAGATGATTATAGAATCAGATCTGTATGTTGGGTTGGATTACGAGGTGGTCCAAGTCAACTTGTTTGATACCAACTCTTTTATCCGAGGACAACATGACAACTGTTCCAGGCTTCCAAGATTGTTTAATTTTGCTATTCTCTCTCTCTCTCTCTCTCTCTCTCTCTCTCTCTCATTATTATGGTTATTATGAATTTTTTTGGTGGAGTTGAAGGGAGGGAATGAAGTCGTTTATTCAAGTGATAAAATTGTGTTGGGAATGTCCATATGTAGTCAATTTTAGAATAAATGAATGACAAATAGATGATACAAGTATTGGAAGACAAATAGAAGTGCTTAGCACACTTGTTGATGTATCTAGCATGGTGAAATCCAGCTGTTCTTGTTTCATGAAGTATTAAATATGTTCCCCTTTCTTTGATTAGTTGATAAATCAGTAGCATGATTGGATCATACAAGCTGAAAGATTAGTTTGAGAGAGTGAGAGAAGCTAGAGAGCGAGAGAGAGACTCTGAAATGTTTCTCTATTTGTTATATTTACAAAGAGAATGAAGTCTCTCTTTATAGAGAGAAATATGGGCATTGGATACCAAAAAACCCACTACCACCGAAAGCATAAAGTAAAGCTATACAATTAACAATTACACCGAAACCATAAAGTAAAGCTATACAATTAATAATTATAAAGCTAAAGCTATTCTAATTAACAAATATATACTAACAGCCCCCTGCAAACTCAAGGAGGGAAAGCATCAACCAAGTTGAGTTTGGAAACAAGATCATTGAAGCGGCCAGGAGGATGAGCCTTAGTGAAGATATCAGCGGGTTGATCGACTAAAGCAATAGGAAGAAGATGAACAGTACCACAGGTAACATGCTGGCGAATGAAATGACAATCAATCTCAATATGTTTGGTGCGATCATGAAAAACATCATTGTGAGCAATCTGAATGGCACTCTGATTGTCACATCGTCGTGAAAAGTATGGGCACATACCAGACCAAGCTCAATCATGGGAGGGCACGAGCCATAGATGGAAGGTGATGCAGTGAATGCATGCAAACTACAATGCAATATCTACAAATATGCAGTGATGCATGACAATGCAACTATTTACGATGATGCATGACAATGCAACTATATTTTTGTTTTGTTTTTGTTTTTGAAATGCAAATGATGTATAAAAATGTATGTTGCATGAAATGGGCGACAACACGCGGCTTTTAAAATACATATATAATGCAACTTATAGAAAGTCGTTCGGGCACGACAAACACCGAAGGACTTGCACCTTCAGAGGATTTAGGGTCTCCTAGACCGTCGGAATACCTGTGCGGTTCGTCTGGTCACTCCAGCCTCAAATGAACTGTACATATAATATCGTGCCTGAAAAGAAAACAAACTTAACAGGTACAATGTTGTTAGCAACATGCATAACAATGCAAAAATGGAAGCGAGACAACGCAGGTCGCAAGGAATGTAAGACAATGCAAATGAGGACACTCATGCTAACGAAAATGTGACACGCATGCCAATGGAAATGAGGCACGCATGCCGATGAAGAATATGGGGCACACCTGCCAATGGAAACGAGACACGCATGCCGATGAAGATGGGGCACACATGCCAATGGAAATGAGACATGCATGCCGATGCAAATGAGGCCTGATGCAAGTGTGGCACGCATGCCTCATGAGATGCAAAATAATACAAATGAGACACGCATATTCCCCTAACTAACAAAGCAGAGTACTTGCAGGTAATCGATCTGCCAAAGTTGTCATTATGAAATTGTCTATTTCCACGTGGTCTTAAAATAGGACTAAACACAATCGAATGAACTCTAAAAAAAAAAAAAGATTATCAGATTTTGGTAATAAACCGAGAGAGAGAGGCCTCATGTTTGATGAAAGCTAGTCTTTACCTACCCAACAAATTGATGAACCTTCCTTGTAACTGAAACATTAAAAGAAAGCAAGGTATCTAATCTAGAAAAAATAGATTAATGGAAAAGGTAAATAACAGCATATAATAAACCCTATAAGCCTTCCATTCTAATTCAAGCATTTGAAGGGGGCTAGAGCTAGAAACAGAGCTTACCCAGTTTGAAAGCCTAAGTAATCCAATCATCAAAACTAAAAAGCAAAGAAAAGGCAAAAACAGAGACAACCTTAGACTCCAATTTCTTAGATTATCTTAATCTGGGTTTCGGATTACCCAGGCAAAAGGAACATCTGATGACGAAAAGGTAATTTAATGTTGGAAAGGGGATTGATTGGTTGGTGGGTTTGGATGGACCCACCATTTTCGTAGACTTCACTTGCAAAATTGCAAGCCCCAGAGGCGCAGAGGCAGAGAGAGAGAGGTGGGTATATAAATGAGGAGGCTATCGACTTGCTGCTTCACAGGTCGAGTCTCTAAAACCCATCGCAAGCACAGCCTTTCACAGGTACTCTTCGATTGCTCTTTTTTTTTGTTCATACGCATTAAAATTTCTCTGATCCTGTTTTTCTTGATACTGTGTGGTTTTTGTAGGGATCTGGAGAAGCTATGGAGAACCCATCAGCGAGCAATGCCAACAACTTTCACTCCGAGGTACGGCCTGTTCTGTTTCCTTGCTTTCTGGGTTTTCTGTGGGTTTTTTTGTTAATGCGTATCTAGCATTGCTTCAAAGTTGGGGTACTTGATTTTTGTTTTTATATCATTGGTGATTAATGGGAGGGTGGATAGGATTTGAAGACAAGGATTGTATTGAACCAAATCAGTGAATTTAGCTATGTAGCTGTCTGACGCTGTGCATGAAAGTCCCCAAAATAAGGAATTAAATGTTATTGGCAGTTTGCACTGCAAAGTATGCCCATAAATGGTAAATGAAAAGGGTTGTTTTGAGTTAGTGTTGGGAATTATGACACTGAACCCAGGCAGGAACATGAAGGTGAATGAGTTCATAGAGACGTCCACGCTTACGGCCGATCCCAATAGTCTGCCCTGTCTGAGGGTCCTGTACCAAACAATCAGTAGCAGAAAAGGTGACAGTTAGACCAAGTTCACATAATTGACCAATGGAAATAAGGTTTAAGGTAAGAGCAGGGATATGATAAACGTGAGGTAGAGATAAAGAAGAGGTGGAAACAGTACCAACATGACGAACAGACATGAGGGAACCATCAGCAGTATGTATTGAGGGAATATGAGGAGATGAAGATAAGGAAGAAAAGATAGTAGAACTGGAGGTCATATGATTACAACAGGCAGAGTCAAAATACCAAGAAGAGTTACCTGGGATTACAGACAAAGCAGTAGGAGGAGGTGTACCAGATGGGGAGAGAAGTTGTTTGAGCATGGCCTCTACATCAGTCGGAGAAAAGCGAGGGGTAGATGGAGCAGGTGACTCAGAGAACCCTGCAAAGGTAGTGTCAGTGTGATGAGACTGATTCCCGGAGGCAGCAACAGCAGTGTGATGAGACTGATTCCCGGAAGCAGCGGTAGCAGTGTGATGAGACTGGTTCCCGGAGCGATGAAAGCTTCCCCAGGAAGAGCCACCGCGAAAGGAGTGGCTATTGGAGGATGAGCGGGATGGATTGCGAAAACAATCCTGTTGCAGATGACCAGGACCAAGTTTGTTGCAGTAGCGGCAGGATCTGACGGGGCAATTGACCAGGAGATGGGTTGAAGGAAGGCCCCGATTCTGACAATAGAGGCAAGCAGTTGTCCGCTGGGTAAATGATGGCCGGGACGGAGGAGTGGCAAGAACAGAGTCCACATGATGAGTTTGAAGAGTACCTAGACGAGTCTCCTCTGATAGCAACTCAGAAATGGCTTGTTCAAGAGTGGGCAAGGGATGGCGATGAAGCAGAAAGGCACGTACGGGCTCAAAAGAGGGGGTAAGAGCCATGAGAAATTGCACCAACCTTTGCTGGTTGCGATGGATAGTAAATAAAACAGCATCTTCGGGGTCATGCCAGGCTGGTTCTGAAAGAGCAAGCTGATCCCAAACAGAGTATATTTGAGAAAGGAAGTCATTAATGGACTGAGTGGATTCTTGGCGCATGCGGTGAAGTTGGTTCTGAAGTTGATATTGATGGGCAAGACCAGTAGTCTGGTATCGTTCTTTCAAAAAATCCCAGATGTCTTTCGCAGGAGTAGTTACAGAGTCAAGCTGAAAGCGGCCAAATTGAAGACTGATAGAGGTAACAGAGGTATTACGAAACCATTCGCAGGAGTAGTTACAGAATCAAGCTGAAAGCGGCCAAATTGAAGACTGATAGAGGTAACAGAGGTATTACGAAACCAGGTAATGATTTGGTAATTCTTACTGTCCCATTCCTCAAGTCGGTCTTCATATGTAGCAGTATGAGTAGGAGTTTCAGTAGTGGCACTGTCTTTTACTGGTTTAGCCACATCCCCGGTGACAATTCGCCAGAGCTTCTTGCCTTTGAGGAAAGAGGACATGGCTTGGGCCCACAGAACATAGTTTGAACCATTTAAAATGACGGAAATGGGATGGGAGGCATCATGACGATCCATAATACTAGTTGAGTAGGGTTAAAGTAATAGAAATAGACCCGTAGGAGCAAAATTAGGTAAAACAGAGTGTACCAGTGAGTCCGGAAGGTCGAAAATAGCAAGGAAAGGTATACTGGACAGAGATGATGTCAGCAATGATGTCAGTGGCGCACGTTAGCAGAGTGCAGGGAGGAGCACGTTAGCAGGAAGGCGACGGCGCACGGTAGCAGACAGGCGCAGACGCGGCGCACGTTAGCTGGTTTGGCGCACGCGGGTGCACACTAGCGAAGTGGCGCACGAGACGCGTACGGTAGCAGGCGCGGCGTATGGGAGCCGCGGACGTGTGGGCGCGTGTAAGCGCGTGGCGAAAGTGAGCAACAGCAGATGGCGCGTGTGGGCGCGTGTGAGAGTGGTGGCGGAAGTGTTGACGCGCAGAGGATAAGAGCGGCGCGTGGGGGCGCGTGTTAGGTTTTCTGAGAACGGGCTTGGTGCCGTTGGAATCAGGAGAAAATTTCGAACAGTTTGATGTAGTGTGCCACTGTATACGGGACTAAAAAATTGCCAGAAATGTAACACTGGGCTCTAATACCATGAAAGATTAGTTTGAGAGAGTGAGAGAAGCTAGAGAGCGAGAGAGAGACTCTGAAATGTTTCTCTATTTGTTATATCTACAAAGAGAATGAAGTCTCTCTTTATAGAGAGAAATATGGGCATTGGATACCAAAAAATCCACTACCACCGAAAGCATAAAGTAAAGCTATACAATTAACAATTACACCGAAACCATAAAGTAAAGCTATACAATTAATAATTATAAAGCTAAAGCTATTCTAATTAACAAGTATATACTAACACAAGCCATTAAACTACCCAATGCTGTAAACCTAAATTGCTTCAGAAGTAATGTTATGTATATCCATGTAAATTACTGTCTTTAACTTGTACAGATATTGATCCTCAAATTGAACTCATCTCCCTTGAATTGGTGCAGATAGGTGGGTTGGCTTCTGGCCAAGATTTGGTAGTTGGGTCAATCCATCTCATGAAAGCCTCTAACAAAATTTGTCAGATGTGTCACAACGCAAAGGACAACTTAGTTTTGAGGAAGTGCATTTCTTGGTAGACTTGAAGAGAACTTGTATCCTGCTTGTATGGGATCATTTTGTGTGTTTTGACTTTTATGATTTTACATCATAAATTCCTGTAACTTCTGGAGAGTTCTTTTAAACTTAAAAATAGAATATTTAAATTTCGTGTATTATTCAGCTGCATACTGTGCTGTTGAAGGTCTGTAATATAATTTGAGTAAAAAGATAATAGAGAATGATTGTAACAGAAAAATTGTTCATTCTAGAGGAGGATGGTTTGCATTATATTGGCCAGAAATCAACAAGAGAGGGTTCCTCTTTCCTAAATTTTCAGGAGCATACCATAAAGCTTTTAGCGGTGTTTTGAGAAGTCAGTAAAAAGTTGATTTTTTTGACTTTTTTAGTCTATTTTATTTTTTTGTGGGTAAAAAATGTGAGAAGTGATGTAACCCAAAATGGGTAAAAAATTAAAAGTTGACTTTTCTCTTGAAATGCAAGTACTGTTAAGTCAACGATGGTAGGCTGATCACATTTTTTTTATCACATTATGTTTATCATATTATCTCATCTCATGTGGCAACACTGCATTGGTGTAATAGCTCAATCACCATGTCTATGTTTTTTTTAATGTAGTGATGACTCACAAGATGATAAACATAATGTGATAATAAAATATGATAATCATTGCATTATGGCTTGTTTATCGGCACATATTTCTTGTACAGAAAACCATTTTTCCCCTCTACCTAGAACAATTTTAACCGTTTATTTTTATCACACCGTACAATTAAAAGTATATTAAATGTAAGAAATACGGATTTTTTGTGTAGATTTTATCACATCCAACTCATAATCATTACACTCTTTTCTCATAAAAAAAGTCAAAAAGTTAAAAAGTCATTCACAAATCAAATTTTTTAATCCAAGTTAAAATAGTTAAAAAAATTCAAAAAATTAAAAAGTGAATCCAGTTTCCGAACGGAGGCATATTTGAGTACATGGGTTAGACATAAAGACATAGAACCGGACGCAAAGGCCTTTTTTCACGAGGAGCTTGAACCCAAACAGGCAAAAGAAGTCCGATTCCCCTAACTAACAAAGCAGAGTACTTGCAGGTAATCGATCTGCCAAAGTTGTCATTATGAAATTGTCTATTTCCACGTGGTCTTAAAATAGGACTAAACACAATCGAATGAACTCTAAAAAAAAAAAAAGATTATCAGATTTTAATAATAAACCGAGAGAGAGAGGCCTCATGTTTGATGAAAGCTAGTCTTTACCTACCCAACAAATTGATGAACCTTCCTTGTAACTGAAACATTAAAAGAAAGCAAGGTATCTAATCTAGAAAAAATAGATTAATGGAAAAGGTAAATAACAGCATATAATAAACCCTATAAGCCTTCCATTCTAATTCAAGCATTTGAAGGGGGCTAGAGCTAGAAACAGAGCTTACCCAGTTTGAAAGCCTAAGTAATCCAATCATCAAAACTAAAAAGCAAAGAAAAGGCAAAAACAGAGACAACCTTAGACTCCAATTTCTTAGATTATCTTAATCTGGGTTTCGGATTACCCAGGCAAAAGGAACATCTGATGACGAAAAGGTAATTTAATGTTGGAAAGGGGATTGATTGGTTGGTGGGTTTGGATGGACCCACCATTTTCGTAGACTTCACTTGCAAAATTGCAAGCCCCAGAGGCGCAGAGGCAGAGAGAGAGAGGTGGGTATATAAATGAGGAGGCTATCGACTTGCTGCTTCACAGGTCGAGTCTCTAAAACCCATCGCAAGCACAGCCTTTCACAGGTACTCTTCGATTGCTCTTTTTTTTTTTTTCATACACATTAAAATTTCTCTGATCCTGTTTTTCTTGATACTGTGTGGTTTTTGTAGGGATCTGGAGAAGCTATGGAGAACCCATCAGCGAGCAATGCCAACAACTTTCACTCCGAGGTACGGCCTGTTCTGTTTCCTTGCTTTCTGGGTTTTCTGTGGGTTTTTTTGTTAATGCGTATCTAGCATTGCTTCAAAGTTGGGGTACTTGATTTTTGTTTTTATATCATTGGTGATTAATGGGAGGGTGGATAGGATTTGAAGACAAGGATTGTATTGAACCAAATCAGTGAATTTAGCTATGTAGCTGTCTGACGCTGTGCATGAAAGTCCCCAAAATAAGGAATTAAATGTTATTGGCAGTTTGCACTGCAAAGTATGCCCATAAATGGTAAATGAAAAGGGTTGTTTTGAGTTAGTGTTGGGAATTATGACACTGAACCCATGATTGTGTTTACATTAGTGAAAGTTGGAACATTTTAACATGCATACATACACATGTGAAGCCATTTAATGTTGTTTTGTGTCTAAGTAACGGTTCATTTTAACATGCATACAGGCTTGTGAATGCAATTAATGTTGTTATGTGTCTAAATAACAGTTCCAGTGTTAAGAAGCATCTCATTTCTCTGCAACTTTGAGTTTGTTTATTCCTTGTTTCCCCTTATTTTGGGTATTGATGAAAATACTTGACCAATGAGGAAACAAATCGGAATGTTTTGTGATAGACAATTTCAATTTGTTCCATCTTTCAACATGTGTTTGTATTGGCTTTTGGTGTTTGAACTAACTTCTTCATCGTTGCAGAAATCAAATGGAAACACAAACAGCTCAAGTAGTGTTGCTACTAATGTTTTAATGAACCATGACTTCTCTAAAGGGCTTGATTCATGGCATTCAAACTGTTGTGATGCATTTATAGTTTCAGCTGAGTCTGGCGACGGTGAAGGACTATTGGCAAAGTCAGACAGTAATTATGCTGTTATTACAAATCGCAAAGAATGTTGGCAAGGTTTGGAACAAGATATCACAGGCAAAGTTTCCCCGGGTTCCACCTATACAGTTTCTGCTCGTGTTGGTGTTTCAGGCCCTCTTCAGAGCTTTGTTGATGTCCTGGCCACGCTGAAATTAGAATACCAAGATTCAGCCACTAGCTATTTGTTCATTGGAAGGTATTCGATTTTTATTTTTTTCTTTCCTTTCTTAATGCTGGTCTTTGTTAATTAATTAATTAATTTATTTATTTTTTTAACGAAATCACTGTGTGCAGGACTTCTGTTTCAAAAGGGCAGTGGGAAAAATTGGAAGGCACATTTTCACTGTCAACTTTGCCTGACCGGATTATATTTTATTTGGAAGGGCCTTCTGCTGGAATAGACTTACTCATAGATTCTGTAGTGATCTCGTGTCCCAATACCAGTGAAAGTGGTGTAAGTATATTAGTTAACTTATTTTCCCATTTATTCTATTGCAACACGAGGACTGCAAATAAGCAGCAAAATGGGATCACATGATGATTAAATGGAATGAAGAAATCAAAGTTTTCTGGTTTTCTTTTCTTCTTTTTTTTTTTTAATAAATAAATTTTTAAATGACTTGTTTGTTGTTGGTATATCTTCCTGTCTGATTTGATAGGGTATGAGCACAGGATGTTTCACCGGAGATGACAACATCATATTAAACCCAAGATTTGAGGATGGCCTTAACAATTGGTCTGGAAGAGGATGCAAGATTGTTTTACATGAGTCGATGGGGGATGGAAAAATCATGCCAATGTCTGGAAAGTTCTTTGCGTCTGCAACAGAACGCACACAGAGCTGGAATGGGATTCAGCCAGATAACTGCAAGAGTGCAGCGAAAGCTTGCTTATGAGATTACTGCCATAGCTCGAATATTTGGTAACAATGTCACTAGTGCAGATTTACGGGCAACATTGTGGGTTCAGACACCAGATCTCCGTGAACAATACATAGGCATTGCCAAGTAAGTTTCTCTCACCTTATCTCAAGTTGTATAATTACCTTGCTTTTGTAAGGGGGAATCCTCATGTCTAGGCATTCAACTTCAACATTTTTTTTTTGGAACTTTTCTCTCTACATGTTGGATTTATAAATGGAAATCGTAGAATGGAACATTATTTGGCATTATGTTTCACTCAATCTTCACCTTATTTAATTATTTTGATATGTAAGAATATTTGGTTTCCTACTTCTTGTCAAACTTGCGACATACTTGATATAGGAAGTTTTCTTCACAATCCGATCCTTGCTAAAGTAGTTGGTTTCTTCTAAAGCTTGCAGGCCACAGACAAAGATTGGGTACAGTTGCAGGGGAAATTTCTTCTAAACGCTTCCCCATCAAGAGTGGTAATTTATTTAGAAGGTCCACCCCCAGGCACTGATATTCTTCTCAACAGCTTAGTTGTAAAGCATGCTGACAAAGTCCCTCCTTCACCTCCGCCAGATTTTGAGGTTGGTTGAACTCAAGATTCAAAAATTGAGAGTTTTATATGTGTATACCACAACTTATTTATTCCCAACCATACTTCCAATGTCAAAATTTTAGAATTTAAACACATAATATGGTTCTCGTGCTTTTGTAGAATGTAGCTTATGGAGTTAACATACTCACCAATGGCAACCTTCACGATGGCACCAACGGTTGGTTTCCCCTTGGTAGTTGCACTTTAAGTGTCGGAACTGGTTCGCCACATATACTTCCTCCAATGGCAAGAGATTCTCTGGGACCTCAGGAGCCTCTAAGTGGTCGCTACATTCTTGTGACCAATCGCACCCAGACGTGGATGGGTCCTGCTCAGATGATCACCGATAATTTGAAACTTTATTTGACATACCAAGTGTCTGCGTGGGTTCGAATTGGTTCCACAACATCTGGGCCTCAGAATGTGAATGTTGCACTTAGTGTCGATAACCAGTGGGTCAATGGGGGTCAAGTCGAGCTTAATGATGACAGATGGCATGAAATTGGTGGGTCTTTTAGAATTGAGAAGCAACCAAATAAGGTGATGGTTTATGTTCAAGGTCCTGCTCCAGGCGTTGACTTGATGGTTGGTGGATTTCAAATTTTCCCAGTTGATCGGCAGGCAAGGTTCAGACATTTAAGGAGGCAAACTGATAAGGTAATTGCTGGACATGATTTATATTGTAGTTCATAGATTATATGCTATAAACTGTACATCTGAAGCAGGGAATATTTTTGTTTCCATTCATGTTCATGAAATTAAGTTTGCTTTTTTCCTCCTATTTATTTTCTTGAAATTGGTTGGCTATAGACTAGGCAGTAGGCATGTTCAGCAGTTGATCACCCAGAGTCAAGAAAAAGGGGCAGTGAATTTCATTGTTACATCAGTTACCCTTCAGAATTAAAAAGCTTTAACTGTTTAACTATTTATTATGTTTCTCACATGAATTGGTGAAAAAAAGTTTTATTAAAGATAGAAATTCATTGCTGCAACTTTTATTTGAAACCTTGTTTTTTTTAACATGCAGATACGCAAGCGTGATGTCGTCTTGAAATTCTCCGGAGCAGACTCCAGCAGTTTGCTTGGTACCTTCGTGAAAGTCAAACAAACACAAAATAGTTTTCCCTTCGGGTCATGTGTGAGCAGAACAAACATAGACAACGAAGATTTCGTTGATTTCTTTGCCAAAAATTTCAACTGGGCTGTCTTTGGAAACGAGTTGAAGTGGTACTGGACGGAGCCACAACAAGGAAACTTTAACTACAGGGACGCTGATGAGCTCTTGAACTTGTGTGTGAGCCACAACATTGAAACGCGTGGCCATTGCATCTTCTGGGAGGTCGAAAGCACGGTTCAATCCTGGATACGAGCTCTGAACAAAAATGATATGATAACCGCTGTTCAAAACCGCCTAACGGGCCTCCTCACACGCTACAAAGGCAAGTTCAAACACTATGATGTGAACAATGAAATGCTGCACGGATCATTTTATCAGGACCACTTGGGTAAAGATATCCGCGCAAACATGTTCAAGACTGCGAATCAACTAGATTCATCTGCAATCCTATTCGTGAATGATTATCATGTCGAGGACGGATGTGACACTCGATCATCTCCCGAAAAGTACATTCAACATATCCTTGACCTCCAGGAACAAGGGGCTCCAGTGGGAGGAATCGGAATTCAGGGACACATAGATAGTCCTGTTGGGCCCATAGTCTGTTCTGCTCTTGATAAATTGGGTATTCTTGGTCTTCCAATATGGTTCACTGAGCTTGATGTGTCTTCCATCAACGAGCACATTAGAGCAGATGACTTGGAAGTTATGCTTCGCGAAGCTTTTGCTCATCCTGCAGTGGATGGTGTAATGTTGTGGGGATTCTGGGAGTTATTTATGAGCCGAGACCATGCGCAGTTGGTGAATGCTGAAGGTGATATTAATGAAGCCGGTAAGAGGTACCTCGATCTGAAGGACGAGTGGCTGTCCCGTGCTCACGGGCACGTTGATGAACAAGGACAGTTCGAGTTCAGAGGCTTTCAAGGTACATATGAAGTGCAGGTTGTTACTGCTTTAAAGAAAGTTTCCAAAACATTTGTTGTCAACGAGGGTGAGTCTCCGGTGGTGATAAGCATAAATTTATAGTTGGGTAGCGATGAAAATGATTTGTAAAAACAAGTTCAAAAAAATACAGTTGTGTAAGTCTGCAATACTACATTTCTTGTTGATGGTTGTGTACATCCTTAATTGAAAATGTTTGATCTGTTGCTTCATTTGTAAATTAAAGATTAAGGAATAAAAACATGGTATTGCCGTTTGTGTTATTTTATTGACTGAACTAATTGTTTCCTTTGCAACTATTAACATTTTCTTGATGTGTACTAAACATTTTATAATGTCCATGACTGTATAAAAAGGTTTGAGATCTGCTCAAAAGCTAAACAAGTAATTAGCTTCAAAATATTTTAAAGTCGAAGTTTTTCAAGGCAAGCTTGATCTGACTTGTTTTACCATCCTAATGATAGAATTTGTATATCCTATTTTTTTTGGTAATAAAGTTGCTTACTGTACTTGGTAAAGGCTGTAGCGCAATTAGTAAAGGCCTGGGGAATAAGACCCCAGGTCTCAAGTTCGAAATTCCTTGGACCAATCCCCTGGATGTAGTGTAGTTGATTAGGAGGTTAAGTTTCAAGTTTTTGTTACTATAGCATTTGTTGTAGGTTCGATACTCTCTTGCTGCACGAGTGCTGACTTAAACGGAACTTGTCTTGAAAGGCCAAATCAAGTTCTCAGGTTATAGTCTCTTGCTCGAAATGGACAACAGGATATCTTGGTAATCTCTACGAGGGGTGTTGCCTTGGACCTGCAGGAGAGTGGTAGGATTTTCCTGTAACAAAAAAATAAAAATTGCTCACTGTACTCAATTTATTTATAGCAAAATATGTCAAAGTGAAAAATGAGAAATTGTTAATGAAATTGTATTTGGTGGAGTTTTAAAATTATGATTTGAGAATAGAATTGTATTTTAAGTTTGTGAGTTTTGGAATTATGATTTGAGTGTGAAAATTTTGTTTGATTATGAGTTTTGAAATGAGTTTTGAATTGAGTTTGAATTAAATAATGTGACATATGATATTTGATTCAAAAATTTACAACTCATTGTGAGAATATATATTATATATATGGCATGCTTGTATATATTAGGAATTAGGCAATTTCCTTTTTTTCCTTGCGTATATTAGGAATAAGGCAATTTTCTTTATTTGTATTTCCTTTTTCAGTCATAGGTCTAGGCTATATAAACTACTGAACTCTTTGTAAATATACAAAATTGAATATACAGTTTCATTCAGAAAACTTCCATGGTATCAGAGCCAAATGCGAAACCCTAAAGCGCAACTCTTTCTCTAGTTCTGAGCTTTAGTTCGGTCAAGCCCTCTGATTCTATTCTTTGGCTTTGATCAAAGCTCATCAAACTCTTTCAGTGATATTTGAAGTCACGTTTCTCATTGGAGTCTCGATTTCGTTTGTCAATTGCGACATTAGTTCAGTTATCTCCCTGGTTCAACTTCGTCTGTCGCTGGAATAGCATCATGATCTACCGCATCAGGATCTCTCTCTCTCTCTCTCTATGTGGTTCAGTTCTTCATTGCGTTCGTCATCTGCTCCTTCGATTTGTGATCCCGCTGGTTCGATTCACAACCCTGTCTGGTTGGCCTGCTTCGTCTGATCTTTTGGTTCAAACTTCTCTAGTTCGTTGGTCACTCTGTTTCTCTCCCTCTTCAGATTCAGGTTTAGTGGATTCTTCTCTCTCTCTCTAGTCCTACTTCGACTCAGGTTTTGTTTTGAGTATATCATGGTTGGTTGACCCATCAACTTTGTTTTGGGTTTATTACTTATTGCCTATGAGCTTTCTGTCTATTACACAGTGACCCATCTGGTTCTAGTTTTTTTTTTTGTTAGTACAGTTTGCCCCATCAGCTTTTTATTTATTACAATGTTAGATGATAAAATTGCTAGGCCCGAAAATAGGTCACTTGCTTCAGATGAGTGTGCCTTCTGCCATCAGAGGGGTCATTGGAAGTATCATTGTCCCAAGAAGGGATGTTTGTCTGCCTTGTCTTCTCAGCAATTTCCAATCCAGTTCTGCGCCCCTTCTCCGAATATTTTTTAGCCTCCCGCCGATTTTACTGTATCTGCTCTGGCTCCTGATCTTGACTTGGCTTCCTTGAGTGCTCAGATTAGCCAACTTCGGCATATGCTGTCTATCTCTCAGTCATCTCTATCTGTCCTCATTGTTTCTTCTCTTCATTCAAGTTTGCTTAGGTTTTCTTCAGGTATCTCTTCATCTGTCTGGCTTTTTGACTCTGGTGCCTCTCATCATATGACTCCTTATCTCTCTTTACTTCAGAATTGTACTCCCCCTCCCTTTCCTATTACTGTTAATACTGCTAATGGGTCTGATATGTCAGTTATATTTATTGGGTCTGTCTTACCGTCTGCAATCTCTATTCCATCTGTCTTATATGTTCCTCAGTTATCTGTCAGTTTATTATCTATTAGTCAACTTGATGCCTCTAGTTTTGATGTTATCTTTTCTTCTTTTATTTGTTCTGTGCAGGATCGGATGTCTAAGCATCAAATTGGGACTGGCCGTAGAGTTGGAGACCTCTATGTGGTAGAGAGCTTCAATATGTCTATGACTACCTCTCTGACTGCCTTTTCTTTTTTTCAGTTAGATTCTTTGTCAAATCCTTTCTATTTGTGGCATTCTAGATTAAGGCATTTGTCTGCTGACCGCTTATGGTCTTTAGCTCAGTCAGGTATATTGTGTAAAGTTTCTCTTAGTCAACTTGCCAAGTGTTGGGGGTGTAAACTTGCCAAAATGACATCCTTACCTTTCCGTAACAATATTTCTATATCTGTTACACTATTTTCTTTAGTTCATACTAATGTCTGGGGCCCTTCTCTTGTTCTCACCAAGGAGGGTTCTGCATACTATGTGTCATTTGTTGATAATTGCACCCGTTACACTTGGGTTTATCTTATGACTTATAAGTCCGATTTCTATCAGATATACCGTACCTTTCAGCCTATGATTACTACTCAGTTTGGGTCTACAATTAAAGTGTTACGGTCTAACTTGTATGGAGAATATTTTAAAAATGAGTTATGTGAGTATTTGGCTAATTTGGACCATTCACCAAACTACTTGTACAGATACACCTGCCTAAAATGGTCGAGTCGAGCGTAAACACCGTCATCTCCTAGAGACAGCTAGGTCTCTTCTTCTCTCTACCTCAGTTCCGGCTCCATTCTAGGGGGAGACAGTTCTTACTGCTGCTTTTCTTCTCAACCGTATGCCTACTCCCTTTCTTTCTGGTCTGTCTCCTTATGAGGCTTTGTTCTCCCAAATTCCTAACTACACTATTTTTCGTGTGTTTGGGTCTGCCTGTTTTGTCATTTTTCCCTGCAAAGATAGGACCAAACTTAGTACCCAGTCTGTCCTTTATGCCTTTTTGGGTTATAGTCTTAATCAGAAAGGCTACCGCTATTACGATCCTGTCTCTTGTCGCCTTTATGTCTCCTGTCATGTTGCTCTTCTCGAACGTCTGTCTTACTTTCAACTTCCTCCTTTCATTGCTCTAGTTTCCAAAGAGTATTTGGTTCACATTGACCTATTTCCTTCAGAGGTCTCGTCTGATGAGTATATCTCTACTGTTCTTCTTGAGCCCATTCTTACTTCTCCGTCTGCGTCACCTATGGCTCCTTCTCCTCCTTCGGCTTCTTCTTCCCCTCCGTTGCTACTCTATTCTTGTCGCCAGGCTCCTCCACCACCAGTTGTCTCTACTCCTGTTGCTACTCTTTTTATTTTTGACAACTCTGATCCTGCTGCACACCAATATCTTACTCGTGAGTGTCGTCCTCCAAATAGGTTGGGTTGGTCTAATATATGTTTTTCTGCTTCATATCGTACCTTTTAGTCTGTTATTCATTCTTTTTCAAAACCACAGTCTTACACAGAAGCTTGTCAGGATCCTAATTGGATTCAAGCTATAGAGGATGAGTTGTTTGCCTTACAGAAGACTAACACATGGGAGTTGGTTTCTTTGCCTGCTGGCAAGAATATAGTTGGTTGGAAATGGATCTATAAAGTCAAGACTCATTCTGATGGTTCTCTCGAGCGCTACAAAGCTCGTTTGGTTGCCAAAGGTTTCTCACAAGAGTATAGTATTGATTATGAGGAGACATTTTTTCCTGTTGCCAAGATGACTACTGTCTGTACCTTGATTTCTGTTGCTGCTGTTTGACATTGGCCTCTCTATCAGATGGACGTTAAGAATATTTTTCTTAACGGTCATCTCACTAAGGAGGTCTACATGCGTCCTCCCCCTGGTCTTCTCTACTCCTCTGGGCAGGTTTGTCATTTTTGGCGTGCTCTGTATGGTTTAAAGCAGTGTCCTCGTGCTTGGTATGATCGTTTTCAGACTACCATTACGGAGCTTGGGTTTCATCATTCTGCTTCCGATTCTGCTTTGTTTCTAAGATATACCTTGGCTAGTTTTGTTGCTCTCCTACTCTATGTGGATAATATAATCATCACTAGCTCTGACTCTTCGGCTATCTCTGAGGTCAAGCAACATCTCTTCCGCACTTTCGAAATGAAATATCTGGGTCCATTGTGGTATTTTCTTGGTATTGAGCTTGCCTCTTCTCTAAAGGGCTATTTTATGGCTCAGGCCAAGTATGCTAATGAGGTTATTCACTGTGCCAGTCTTACTGATACGAAGGTTTTTGATACACCTATTGAGCTTAATGTGAAGCTCAACTCAACTGATGGTGTCCCTCTGGATGATCCTACGGTCTATCGCAAGCTGGTGGGTTGTTTAGTTTATTTGACTGTCACTCGCCCTGATCTTACTTATGCTGTTCATATGGTTAGTCAGTTCGTTTCTGCTCCTCGCTCTACTCATTGGGCTACTTTGGTTCGCATTCTTCGCTATCTTCGGGGTACCATCTTTCAAGGCTTGTTGTTGTCCTTTACTTCCTCTTTAGATTTGGTGGCCTATGCTGATTCTAATGATCGCAAGTCCACATCCGGTTTTTATATGTTTCTTGGAGATTCCTTGATCTCTTGGAAAAGCAAGAAACAAACTGTTGTTGCTCGCTCTACTGTCAAAGCTGAGTACCGTGCTATGGCTCATGCTACTGCTAAGCTTATTTGGCTTCGTTGTCTTCTCTCTGAATTGTGTGTACCTCAGTCTTATCTGACCTCCTTTTATTGTGACAACCACAGTGCTATTCAGATTGCCTACAATACTGC